TTCAATATCCTCGATATACTTGCGGTGAACCTAATCATGTGCCGTTCAACCGGCGGTCGTGATGCCAGCATTAAGAAGCCTTACTCGACGGATCACCGTTACTTAAAATTTGATTATAAATGCTCGGAGCGCAGATCATGTTGCAACTAGAAACACGAGAGGATGTACTTTGAACTTATATTAATATTTCACGGTAACGTTCGTTCTAGAACATTCTGATTATCGCGAGGCAGATGTGCCCCGGTTGACGTGCACCGAATATTTCGCATGAATAACGGTCATTAATTATAAATTTTAAGACATTCGCGAAGAAAATCGATGTTTTTCATTCTTCGGATACGTTCATCGTTCATCCGTTTCACGTCACATAATCGACCCTGCGGCAGAGAACCCTGCTCGTGTTAATGACCTCGTAGTTGCTACGGAAATTATTAAAACGACACCGTGTCATGGTAACAACAGCAACGGAAATTTATCTTCCCCATAGAAACGACCACGCTTTTCCTATTCTCCTCGCCGCAGTGTCGTTAATGTAGAATTTCGTTAGATGATAGTAAAATTTCGGCCAGCTTATGCAGTTCGATCTAAAATGTCTGCGACGTTGAACACCATTCTACAGTGAGGTGCATAATTATAGACTCGAAGTGACTTTTACATTCTTACTGTTATTACAAAAAATAACCTTAACAAAATGTCATGATTGTATTTTCCTGTATTAGAAATGATAGAAAATAGAAATTCAGAAATATCATGTTCTGATAAGTTTTTCTTTAAATATACAGGATGTCTCAGTTAAAGGATGCCACCTACAGTGAATATTTCTAAACACAAAGTAATTTTTACATTTTCATTGATATTTAAATAAAAACGGAAAAGAAATCTATGTTTGTATATCTCTCAATTTTTAATTGTTTCTAATACAGATACAACAAATATGATGTTTCGTTAAGTTTTTGTTTAAATGTCGCTAAGAATGCAAAAGTTACTTTTAATCTATAATTATTCTCGAAGCAATAATTGTAGACGCGAAGCAATTAGCAATTATTTAAGAAAGTGGAAATCTGCAGAAAAAATGTTAGTAAAATTCGTAGAATGTATAAGAGTTAAACTAATCATTTCTATGGCAATTTCTTCGTTCGTCAGCGAGAAGCTGCAAGAACGTTGAAAATGTGATCGACGTCTCACGCAACTTAACTTTCCAATCGTGATTAAACCACATGCTTGACTTTCATGAGATATTTAACACTTAGTGCCATGGTACAAACCGACGTTAACGGCCGCTGGTACAACATGTGTATCATGCGCAGTGTAGTCAGGAAAAATCGCTACGCTAGGCGTGGGGGCAAGTGACGCATGCGCGAGAGTCCCGCACAGCGGCGTGGCGCGTCTACAGGGTGGCAACTATTATATTGTATTGTACCTGCAGCTCTGCTTTGCGTCGCGACGCCATCGTAGTTCAGAATTACAATGCTCTCCCGATAGACGCGCCGCATCGCTGTGCGGAACTCCGTTCACATGCGTCGCCACCCCACTCCTTGCGTAGCAATCTTTCCTGAATACACTGATCGCGCGCCGTTTGGTACCAGTGTCGGTCATTAGCATCAATTTAACCATAAACGAGTGCGAAATCGCACAATTTACCTTGACAATATAATAATAAACCTAAAATTTCAATATTTCCGAAGTTTACCTGACAATTGATTGCTGATTTGCAACCTGTAATTTAATTATAATTTTGTTCATTTGTAAAATAGCATTTTAACCCAGGATAAAACGTGACTCCCCACGAAGGTTTCTCACAAAACCGCGCGGCCTGTAAAGTGTTAAGATTGCGACGTATGATAAAATGTCTAAAAACCGCGAATATGAAATAAAGATAGAAACGACAATGTGGTTTTCTCAGGCGTCGGGATACCGAGGGGCCGGCGCGGTGGAAATCTTAGTGACAGAAAAAAAGAAAGAACGAAATAATCGAGCACGACGCCGGTAGTCGTATAAAACCAGCAGGGCATTGTTCCCGAAGAGACCCATAGAGCTACTCGTAATTGCTATTGGCCCAGTTGTGTACATTCAGGCCGGGTCATAGGCGATGACAACACAAGGAGCGAGAGGACAGGGTAGGGAGGCGAACGGCGGGGTGTAGGAGGCCTGGCGTAGGAGTGTGACAACGTATAGATACGATAGAACGGTATAGATAGGAGGTAACGGGAGGAAATTAGAGGCTGGACATTGATCGTCGGGTCAGTGCCACGTGACACTACTGAGGGAGCCTGACCTCTCCTGCGGTATATCGCCTCGATTCTAATTAGTTGTATATGGCACCGGTGACACGTTCGGCCGACAATATTTCTTGAGGCGATACCCATACAATCCAGTTTGTCCAGTTTGTCTGGTTTTCCCGCGCGCGGCGATTCTTATTTAGCCTCGCCCCTGGCCCGAGAGCATATTACGCCATTCCGCCGTGCCGGTGGGTTAAGAACCTACTGATTTGCATTTCTCCGGGTACAAGCCCGATAATCCCTCGCTCCCCCGCTCTCGGTCAACAAACCGATCGCCGTGAACTCGTTTATCGGTTTCGCAGCTTCTCCCGGCCGTGTCTGTGTGCTCGTGTCCGCGCGTATGCACGTGTGTACATACAGTACCCTCGCAGTCTCCTCTGTCGTCGTCGTCGTCGTCGTCGTCGTCCTCGTCGTCCTCGTCGTCGTCGTCGTCGTCGGGAGCAAACGTAATGACCAGGGCACCGCGGACGCGACGGTTCCAATCTGGCGTGTACCGTTAAACGCGGCGACGTTTACTGAGACAAGTCGCTTGCCCGGCGCATACCGTGCCACGTGCAAAAACCACAGGAGTGCTCCTTTCGCAGGTAAACCGGCTGCCCCGCAGCTTCGGTTTCGTGACAAGAAAGTGGGACAAGTGAAATATGCGTCTGGCTAAGGCAGGCGCCAAAATAACGTATAATCCTGCCAGCCTTACCCCCCCGAACCGGAAGAAACCGACTAGAACAACATTACCTGTACAGACCACCCTCGACGGTCAACAATATTCCGCTGTCCGTTTGCACGCTACCTCGACGAATTTCTGAAACTGTTTCCGAACAATGTTGCCCGATAAGTTCCACAGGAAAGTTTCGAAGCTTTCCCGTGAACTGCAAGGGGATTCCAGAGGAAATCGGATTTAATTTAGTTTCATTAAATTTACGGGTGCGGGCCATTCGAACAATAGTAATCTTAATGTTATAATGCGAGATACCAAAAGCGATGACGCAGAATAATTAACGAGTTTGTAACATTCAGGTGGAAAGGAGAAATCAATGAAATCTGAGATGTTCGATAATGTTTTCTTACTCAATTGCATAACACTCTTTGACGAATAATATAATAATAATATAATAATAATATAATTATAATATAATATAATATAATATAATAATATAATAATATAATAATATATAAAGAATACAATATATGTATATAGTAATTTATAATAATTCTTCGGAGAAATCTATAGCTCTAATATAACGTAGCTATAACTTCTATAGATTCACCGGGAACAAGGGTGAAAACACCACAAATCATGAAATAATGAGTGAAATTGTAACAATTTTAAAAGATGTGAAAAATAATTCTTCTGTGAATTCTGTAGTTCTAATATAACGCAGAAGCATAATACTTTGACGGTTAGACGAATTGTTTATGGATAATCCACGGTGTTGTGCACTCCTTAAACTTGCAATGTTTATCCTTCACAAAAATAGTCAAGTTTCCCTGCGAACCAGAAGAAATAATCTAGGAAAAACCGCAAATATTTAGAACTTCCCAGATAGTTAAACGGTACAATTGATTGTTTCAATTGTACAATATGATTGTTTTAAATCTTGGTGATTTTTCGATCCGATTTGTTCCGACGTAAAAATTCGAGGAGAAACGTTTCCAACGCATTTAGCAACCCGCTGAAATACTACTTGTAAACAGCAACCGTAACACGAAATTACTAAACTGTGCGTGCAAACTTCCGAATGCGTTTAATCAATTTGAAGGTGCGATACGTCCGGAGCTCCAATGAACAGATGCAGGAAGGCTACGTAGAATTCGCACACTCACGTGATTAGAATCGTGAGTCATTCATTTGCGAACAATGCAGGATACCAATTACTGTCAAGCTTATTCTATTAGGCAGTAAAAATTACGCCCGAGAGAGAAGAGTCACGAAGTTGCCTAATGATATACGTCCGAATGGTTGAATTCCATCAAATGCTTCAAAAGCATTGTTCGGTACTTAACATCTTTGAAATTGATTGAAAAATTGAGAACCGTTCATTGCAGATAATAGACTCCGGAGAACAAATGCCACAGAATAAACCATGCAGGCATTACAATACCAGATGGTACATTGATTTCAGTGTGAAGCAGGATTGCCCATTATTCGAATTGTTTCGAATAAGTACTTAGGACTAAGTATTCGCATAGTGATTATTTATTATTCATCATAAATTATTCTATCTATTTATTCGAATAATTCTTTATTCGAATAAAATCGTATTCGTATAAACTTAAATCCAGATAAATTTTTATTCGATTGTATATTTATTCGGCAATATATCGAATAAAATTTTACCCAACTTTTCCCAATTTTACCCTTATTCGAATTGTTTCGAATAAGTACTTAGTACTAAGTATTCGCATAGTGATTATTTATTATTCATCATAAATTATTCTATCTATTTATCCGAATAATTCTTTATTCGAATAAAATCGTATTCGTATAAACTTAAAACCAGATAAATTTTTATTCGATTGTATATTTATTCGGCAATATATATATCGAATAAAATTTTACCCAACTTTACCCAATTTTACCCTTATTCGAATTGTCTCGAATAAGTACTTAGTACTAAGTATTCGCATAGTGATTATTTATTATTCATCATAAATTATTCTATCTATTTATTCGAATAATTCTTTATTCGAATAAAATCGTATTCGTATAAACATAAATCCAGATAAATTTTTATTCGATTGTATATTTATTCGGCAATATCGACTAAAATTTACCCAACTCTGGTGTAAAGTACCGGAAGACTAGCTGACACAATGATTATAATGTTCAGAGAACAATAAAGGAACATTCACACGTCTTAATATCTCGCACGCTGCGCGATAAATTTCTATCGTCAGAGTACACCGCGCGAGCGTTCAGTGATAATGCTATTGAATCTCCGAGGCTCGTTTCCCGCGGACAAATGAATCGAATAAACGTAGGCGATCGCTGACAGAAAGGCAACGAGGTGTGCGTTACGCGTGCACCGTGAATCCAAGATCAAGTGCGCGCGATAAAGTTCCGCGCCGATAAATATCTGCGGCCGATCGGCTCTATTACGCGATTCGTTATCTCGGTGATTCGGACACGACGGATTAAGATCACGATCGGTATACAACGGTGAATTATTAATTCAGCTGTTAGAGGTAACGAACAGCGAAGCCCGGACTCGTTTCGCAAGTTTCGCACGATCGATATATTAGGATCCACGGTGGCGGCGGCGGCGGCTGTTCGATTCAAATGAACACGCAACCGGCCACCGATATTATCAGGAAATCGAAAAAGTCGCCGAGTCTGGGAACTATAGATTATCTTGAAGTATCGGCCCGCCTGATCTAGTTATTAGCGAGCTTTCATCGTCGTCATCATGTTGTATAATTAATGAATACCTCGCTCCGCAGGAGCCTTCTAACACCTAGCATTACCAACCCAGCCTGCATACTATTACGGTGTGAGTCGTGCAATTAGACAAGCCGCGGGCTTCTGTTTAATCGCGGCCGGCAAAAGTGCGCTCGCATTTTTCTGACACCGCGATGAGAGATAGCCGGCTCCGAGAATTTCGTTTCGTGCCAGACTATTTCGGAAACGGTGGCGCAGCGCCGACAGCTCTCCGCGGATCTCCAAATTTCGGGAGCATATTTTTATTGTCGAAATACAAATTCAGCCGAGAAGAGGTCGAATTCCACTTGTATCATTTTATGATACGACTGCTAATCGCTTTTGTGATTCTCTAGACTTTCTTGGAGTTCACTTTATTACCAGCAAAAATTAACATCACGTGCGGGGATGTTCATTCAGATACCTGAATTTCTGTTACTTTACTTTATTATGTCATATCATGTCCATATCATTTGTTATAACGTTTCTAATTTTATTCTGTTTGCAGGCTGCTTGATTGTTATTGTATTCTTGTATTGTATAACGAAGGATTTATCCCGTTGAAAGAGCAAATATTTTATTATTATTTGACTATATATTCAAATTTGTCTATCGCGGATATAGACCATCGACTTATCCTTTTGCAGACACATATGAATAGAAAATAGAACTTCGAGCAACACTAAACCTACCGATCATTTATCAGCACTATAAATAACTGGCATGAATTGCTTCGTAATGATGACAAGACTGAATGTATTTATATACTTTTCATCGTTTCTTCGCTATTTTCTGTGAAAGAATCTTGATAAAGTAGAACGACGATTATCCGGTGCTTCGATGTCACGACTTTTTATTGTCCAAACACGTTGCGCATATAATTAGCTCAATCCGAAGCAACATTGTGCAAAATCATCTGCAATAAAAATCAGTAAAAATCAAATTTGCCACTCTCCGAACATTCAAGTCTCTCCGTTTAGCATGGATAGTCGAGAATTCACTGCAGTTCCAACAACTTTAAAATAGAAAATGTGCGTTTCAGTTTTGAAAAATTATTGCATTTTAAAAGGTGTACGAACACTTTTGTGGACCTAAAGGTTCGCTAATGTTTATACAGTGAACCTTAGGTGAAACTTAATGTTTCATTAGTGAAACAAGTGAAGTCAATTTAAACATGAAAGGCAGGACACTGATGCCGTATTGTGACAATGCTTGTTATTCAAAAGTCAGAAAACCATCCAAATCACAGAATATTACATAAATTGAAGTACTTTTTTTCTGTTGTAATACAGCGTTATACACTAAATTCCCCCCAATTGCCTTTCAGCTAGTGAATGAAAATGGGCAATTTGGGAAGAGGAATGATTCGAGCCTTATGCCTCGTTTTTATAATTGTCGATGACCGACGACTATAAAAACGAGCCGCGAGACTCGAATAATCTCCTCTTTCGAAATTGTCCATTTTTATTTACAAGCTGAGGAACAATTCGAGAGAATTTACTGTACTTCGTAAACCGACAGTAGATATTTCTAAGGCAGTCGACTCGTTCTTAAAAAGCAGCAATCTATCTTGCGTCTAAAACATTGTAACTTCTCGATAACATTTTGCACGCACGATCTACTGTAAAATAATCACGAGAGAGAGAGAGAGAGAGAGAGAGAGGGAGATGAAAATTGCTTGAAATAGAACGAAAATATAGATAAAAAAATATAGAACAAACATTAGAGACCAGCACAGGTCACCGCAGATCTCCACACTGAGATTATCCCACTTCACAAAACAGTTGTTCACAAGTTTCGTGTTCACTGAACTGTTAACCGATTCTCGGCATCTGTTCGCCCACCTTTGCTCGAACTCGATAAAAAATCCATCGGCGAGTACAGCGCGACAGCGCGGGGACCGTTGGACAGTCTCCAGAATTTACCGCTGATCATTGCCAGCGTCCCTGCGGACGGTCCTCCGCCGTTCGTGATTTATCTGGGCGAGATTTAACACGGGGCGGCCTCCATCATCGACGTCTTCGATTCTTTCCTCGCCGTAACGCGGGACACCGGACCTGTCCACGTACGCGGCCAGCGTGGAGTGCAATGACCAGGTCGTGTGTTCCCCGATAACACCCACAAAGTGTCTAACTTCAGATTGCTTTGGGTGCGGGTCTCGGAAGATCGTCCGGCGAAACTGCTCCTCGTAAACACCGTTACGAGAAAGGGTGTACGGCGAGAGCACACGGCCGAACGGACGCCACCCGCGCACACACGCCGCGGCCACTCGCTCGGCCACAGACACGCGGATCGTCACGGTCGTATTTCCATTCCGCGTTTCGCATAGGTGTAACGAAGTGATTTCAACGGCGTCAGTCCGAGCTACTCCTCCCCCGCAGCAGCGGGCACCGCGGCGACCGAACGGTCCCATCCCTGCGACCGCATATGCACGTGCGTGTCCGTACGAGCGTGATTCCGATTCCTCTGTCTTCGTCGCGCCGGGGCCTTCCTCTCGGTTCCTTTATTGTTCGGGATACACGCCGCTTGACTGGCAATTTATATAGGCTACTTATGCAACGGCTCGAGCTGGTTACCGGCTGGGTCAACGAATACGGGCATCGCCTCTACGCGCCAATGGCATTCCCAGGACGACTCTTACCTGTGGGGATAGTTCGCCGCGAGAACCCATAAGATCACCTCTCAAATATTTAAACTCGTTGCCGATTTTCAGTGCTTTTCTTTGTTCCCATTCTACGGCGTATTTCTCAAGATGGAAATTCACACGGTTTCTTCTTCTTCTTGGACCGTGGTGCACGGTGGATACACCGACAATGGTTCACAAAAGCGTTCGTACACGTTTTAAAACGCAATAATTATTTTAAAACTGAACCAAATGACTTGAATTATTTTTTAGATAGAGGGACTAGTCTACTAGACGATGACTAAATTTATTTAGTCATAGCAGTTATTATAAATTAAGAAATGAGAGATTTTTATTTTTTTGTCACATTCCAAGTAATAACAAAATTTTAAAAGAATATCAATTCAATCATCGTTTAGTAGACCAGTCCTTCTATCATCTAAAAACATTCGAGTCATTTAGTTCAATTTTAAAGTAGTTATTGCGTTTTAAAAGGTGTACGAACAATTTTGTAGGCACTGTATTTTCTCGGGCATCATCGGTCAAAATTTATTGTCGATATTTTTATTTATTTATTTATTGTCGATACAGCTTCATTGAGTCTTGATTAAGTGATCGTAGCATTAGAAAACGCAATGAAATAAATTCACTTTCACGTTAAGTTTCATCCAAATGCATACGAATCTCGCTGTTACGAAAATTCCGGTCTTTCTTGTTTTGCAGTTGCCTCACTTTAAATAATTATTGCCTACATCTTGTTAGTTTATATGTTCTCGATGGTTTACATATTATTGGGTATCTTTTATTGACAATGATCTTTTACAAGATATATCCTGATTTAATATAAACTTCATAGTTTAGCAGCTATATAAAATAAAAGTCCATTCGACTCGATACTATCATAATTCAACTAATGATTAAAAGTATTTGCTCAAAACCACCCAAAGTGTAAAATCCCTAAATTCACTCCGTTAGTAGGAAGGTTTAAGAAGTAGAAAAATTAGCTACTAATAGCCGCGATTGATAAAGTAAATCTAATATATATATATATATATATACACACATTATATACATATATTAGATTTATTATATATACTATATATTATTTGTATTGTATTATATGTTTATACGTACTATGTAAATTTATAAATGTAATCTCTTACGTTTGAATATTATACATTGAATATATGTATAAATTTGTAAAATATAATAAACGAGAGAAAAAGGAGAGAAGTCATGAGTTTTATTTTTATTCTGTTTCCGCGCGTTCGTTGTAGCATATTCGCTCATTGTAGCACATTGATTTAATGAAAAATATTGTTCGCTGCAGCATTCGTTCATTGCAGCATACTGAACTGTATTATCTTGTGACCTCTCATGCAATTATTACTGAAAATAGGACGACTTTGTCACTCTGTGAATTAAAACCGACACAGTTCTTTCAGAAATTTCTGGAATCGCGGAAGAAACAAGTCCGCAAGCCATTCTAGACACTTAATTCCTATATCCCCACATTACAAAGGAACTCAAGACATTAAAGTCTTGCTGATCCGTTTCAAACTACTAGCGGAAATATTCAGACAAAGCCTTCCGAGTTATTCGATCGTTTGCGGAGCCTTCGCAATCTCGATAGCATTACACCTTGTAATCACAACGTAACCGCGATTTCTAATTACCAACTGATTTGCATAGCACCGGTGCGAATGAATTTAAAGAGCGGAAGTTCCGCGAGCTTATGTTGGGCTAGTTAGAAAATCGTAATTTCACAATTAGGGAGTATTGTAATTGAGATTAGATGGAATAAGCCTAGCTATTTGCAGCGTTGCTGATACCTTAGTGGTTCCAGCATGTAGAATTCGAACAAAGTTCCTGGAGATCTCGAGATTGTTGTCTCACGTGAGAGAACAACTACTTTGAAATGGAACTATAGTACTAATAGAACTATAATACTATTTTCCATTAAATATTACTATAACATTTATTTTTCAGTTCATGTTCCCGGGATTACAATAGTTTTCCGGGGGTGAATACCACAGTATCGCTTTTCCGTGAGAACTACAGCGGCCATCAAAAGTGATCGCACATCTTCTAAAACGTAATAAGGTTTTTAAAACTCAACTAAATGACTTGAATTTTATTTTTTAGATGATAGTGGGTCTACTAGACGACGACTAAAATGCCTTTTTTAAATTTTGCTATTACTTGGGATGACAGAAAAAAATAAGAAACGCTCGTTTTTTAACCTTACTTTTTAACTATCTATCTTTTGACTATCTATCTATCTATTAACTATCTATTTTAACTATCTGAGTCTATAACAAAAATTAAAAAAAAAATGCTTTTCGTGGATCTCGATAACTTATTAAAATTTAAAAAAAAAGCATTTCAGTCATCGTCTATCATAAAAAAAATTCAGGTCACTTAGTCCAGTGTTTGAAAAAATTATTGCGTTTTAAAAGGTGTACGAACACTTTTGTGGGCCACTGTAATTACACATAAATTAGAATTTAGATAGAATAAGGTATATCATAGTATAGTATTACACAGAACAGTTTAAGATAATATGGAATAAATACGGAAGGGCAACGAACCCTTGCTTTATCACTTGTACTGATTGAAACAGGCACAACAAGAAATAAATAGCAAATGTGTAAAATGGATTTAATGAAGTGACAAATGGAATAAAATACCCTAGGGTAAAGTAGACACGATAAATTATGCTAAAATGATATCAAACAGTTAAACTAGAGTGAAGACAAAGCGGAATAAATTAATATGAAATAGAATAGAATAACACAAATATCTCCACAAAATCATTTTAGAAAGTTAGGATAAATAAAGAGCTGAAAGCGAAACAGAGTTCAAGCAAAAACATTCTTTGCAGCGGGGACAAAGTGAACAATATTGCACACTCGAAATGTAAATGATCCTCGGCGCAAAAGCTTGCGCGCGGTAATTGTCATAAACGCAGAAGAATCCGTGGTCCGCCGACAACCAGATCCGCAACACGATTCTCCCAGCGGCGTTTAATCAAGGGTAACACCGGTAATCACGTTCTTTCTGTTACACTGTAACCCGATACAGTCACATTTTATATTTCAGTGGTCGTATTTCAAGCAGCATGCTAGCCCGTTTATTCCGCGTTCCCCCCTGCGAGAGCGCAAAAACACCGGCTCGTATTAATTTACTAATCCAGATCAACCAACCACCGATGCCCCATTTACATGATACACTGCCAAATAAAGCAATCCGGGGTATCGAGCTCTGGCGAATCTGTAGGCCAAGTAACTGTGAACGTGTTAACCGCGGCATCCATGCTCTGCTATCCTTTGCTACAATAAGCGGAGACCGAAGCCGTCATTCCGATTATTCCGTTATTAAACCCGGCTAACAATCGAACCGCTCGACTCTTCCTCCCGGCGCCGATATTTTCAACAACGCGGACTTAAGAGAGCAGAAACTCTGCGAAACGCTTTAATACCTCATAATCCTGCCACTCGATGCATTAGCGATGCAAGGAATCCTCTTCGACGTTTCGTGGAGAGACTCCGATCTGTGGAACAAACGCGCCGTGTTTCTAACAGAGCAATTATTCGGAATCCATCGACTCCTTTCCCGTTCTCCGTTTTTAATGCGACACAGGGAAAGACGAATCTCTCCGGTCGTCGATAAAGCTGCGTGACGCTCTCGAGCGATCGAGAGGCACAAGAGGAATTTATTCGCCGTGGAATACCGGCTGAATATTCCCTACATACGACATACATGCTCGCATTCTTATTCGCCCTCGTCGCGCGAGCACAGAAGTCCGTGGCGATCTGAAACGTCGTTCGAGATGCCAACGTGTGCCTCGGTGTGCATGTGTTTCGAAGGCCGGGCCGGGGGTCAGGCCGACGGACAGAGATTTTTGGATTCTATACGCGTCGCTGCACAGTTTCGTGACCGCCGTGGGGGGGCCTTCGTTCGCGAAATCGCCGGGAACTGGCATAGTTATGACCGGTCGTGGAGGTCGTTAGTTTGGTCGCGGGAAAATCAGAGCTCGGACGATAAAACGTGAGGAAATTTGGCCGAATATTCGTTAGGGACGTGACTCCGCGTGGAAGGTTAATAGGAACTGGCGCACGTAGCTCATTCTACGGTTGCAGCAGGTGCATATTATTCACGTCTTGGCCGGATAGATCTCGCGCAAATTCATAAAGCAGTCCTTTGTACGGCTACTTCTGCAAGGGTCGGCGATCTTTATGGAAATTTCCCGGGCTGGTGCTCGCCTTACGAGCCCCGGGACCAGAGGAAACCGTACGGGAGAACGAACGGGAACGAAGGCAGCTGAAATTTCGAGAAGAACGGCTTAAAATATCGCTGACCCGCATTCGTGAAAAATTTCCCTCCGAGCGTCCTTTCCTTCTCGTCATTATCCTTCGTCTCTCGCTTCCGGCCACTGCGTGTCCAACCGTCATCGAATCTTCGAACGTGGGATTCCCAAATGCGATCCATATGATGGTCGCTTAGCATAACGGTTCTCCTAAAATAAGCGCGCCACGAACTAAAGTCACTGTTATTACATCATTGAAAAATTTCCCTCCTGAGTTTTATTTATTATCCAAGATGACAACCAAAAATCGTTCATTTATTATTTACTATCGATCTTAACGCTAGAACTATCGAGCTGTTAACGAGACTAATGTATAATGTCTTATAACTAGACTGCGGATCTTTATGCAAAATAAAAATTGTCTGCATCAATTTCAAGACATAGGAGGCAAGCTTCTTTATTTCTGTAATCGTTTTAATA